TTGATTGTAAATGTTTATGAGTTTAAGTAGAATGTCTTATATGAATTGTCAGTAAAAAAAGTTCAAATTTTTCACTAAAATTAAACGAGATGAAGTAGCCATGATGTATATAAGCTTGTTTGTGACATCTGAGAGGTCAACAACGCCGGTCACGTCTGGGGTCTAGACCTCGCTCAATTCTTTAATATTTCTTGACTTCAACTTTAAGTCTTTAAAACAAAGTGAAAACGTTTGTGAAAGACATTACAAAACATGATAACTTGAATTTTTCCTTATCAACAACCCAACTTTCAAAAGTCATATCTCCCTCATACGACCTCCGGAGTTCGCAAAATTGGCGTCTTTGGAAATATCTTCCGATTACATTCCCATCCATATAAAAAATTAACCCAAATTCCTCCTGAGTTGGGAATTATGGCTATTTGAAAATGCCAAAACTAACTTTTGTACTGGAAATTTTCCAAATTTCATACTTATTTCCGAATTTGATTCTTATTGTTTATCTTAGCTTAACCTCTGTTCATCTAGAACATGAGATATTACATAAATAGTCTGCTTCTCTTTCTTAGCCCTCTAATACCATCCTTCTAATTTCATACCTACCTCACTAGAGGAAACTTGAACTTTTTTATTTAAGAGGATTATCATTGGCTATACATGAACCCTTTTGCAAACTCTAAAGAGTAATGAATAATTTTAATATCAGTCTACTCAACATTGACAACTCAAAAGTAGTATCAACATGCACATGAAAAGTCATTAACTTACTTAGAATCTTGTTTGGCTACATAAGATTTTGGTTATACCTCTTAATACCGTTGTTAGTCTAATAACTAAGCCACATTTCATTATTATCATATAAGGTTCATAATACCAAACTTGTTCTACTCACATTTATTGCAAAGTAACACCTTAATTCATTATTTAATTAATGTCTAACCTAATTGACCATATCTCAAAACTAACATCTTCACCCACATATTACTATTTTTTTTATCATGAGACTCATTTCAATTTAAAGGTTAGTATCTAGTAATAAACATGGCTATCATTACAATGACTCACATATTATAATAACTTACAATAGCTAGGTGAAATTAAGGGAAGACCTCTTGATAAGTAGACAATATTTATCTCTTAGTCTACCTACTTATATATTTTCATCACACTCCTTTTCCCAACCTCAATAACATTTACCCATTCACTATACATCATTACCTAATTAGTTCTATTCATAAGTCTCTCCTTTCAAAGTCATAAGTCTGGCTTAGATGTATAACCTCATGACTACCTTGTCCTTCCATTCAACATTTATACTTGATTTTCACTAACGCAATGGCACATCAGCTTAAATTCATTTGGAGTTAAAGTATACTCTAACTCATCCTAAATAGTAACATTCGTTTAACTTCTATCATCAAATCATATAAATTATTATTCGAAAGTCTACACATAAAGGAAAAACTCCACAATAATGAATTACTAGGTATGTGACAACAACTAGACACTTTACTCAATAACTATCTCCATTTCTTAGGTTACTATACTTCTAAATATATACTTCTAACTTTGGACACTTCCGCTATTACTGGTTCATAATATCGCAAATCAGATTATCTTTCGGGCAACAAAACCAAGCACTCTTAAAAAACACCGCCCTCTTAAACTGATTCATGAAAATAAAAGATTAAAGAAGAGAATTTGAGTGCATATCTTTGTTTTTAGATCGAATGGTTTATATTAATAAGAATGCATTTTTTTAAATCAATACACTTATGTATACTGATGGGTTTCTCTAAACCTAGTTTCAGTTTCTTTGACTTACTAAAGACTTCATCTGAGAATAACTTATCAATAATGATTTGGGCTTTGATATTCCAACCAAGTAGAGTATGAAGTGTAGCCTAATGGATTTTAGAAATGCATGATTTTGAATAACATTCCTATGATACAATTCCAATGCACATTCTGGAGTACGACAATGAGAAACATCTCCTAAATATGTGGTAGACTCCTTATAATAATTGTAGTTCACAATATATTCATAAGCTAAACTATAATAGAGTACACAACTTCATAGACAACCTAAGACCATTTGAACTCTTTGATCTAATAACAAGTTTTTCATGCTCCGAGACTATACCTAGGACATGGCCGACACTTAATTATTGCTTGTTCCAAGCAAACTCTTGGCATGATGATTACATAGAGGAAAACTATACATACATGTGGAAGCCTTATAAAGTAGACAATATCACTAGTTGGTTGGGATGATACAAAATGGTACAAAAATCACTCCTCTATTAGTGTTGTCAATGTGCGCGAAAGTTCAATTATGTTTAGGAAAATATCGATATGATACATTCAATCTCAGTGTTGAGTCTAGGCAAATCTCATATGGTGGGGCAAACCTCAATGAGGAAGCTGAGTCAATAGAGCGGGTGTAAGTGACAACCCATGTAAATATTAGAATTTTCACATCAACAAAACATCGAAGAGATATTAGGTATATATGTAAATAAACAATACCAAGTAGTGATGCATTTTAAGTCGTGTCGGCGTAGGCCCAAAACGGACAATATCACTAGCAGATTGAGTTGTTACATTTTATCATGTAATTATTTGGTCAATAGGTAATTAGGTGTAATTAGCATGGAGTAAGTACACTCTCCAATTCTAAGTGAGGGACTATGAACTGTTGTTTAATACATGATGTAACTACACGCTGATAACTCTTTTTTATATTTTTTTTTATTTTTTGATTTAATTTAATCTTAAATTCGACTCCCTCTATTCCAATTTATGTGACACACTTTGCTTTACGAGAATCAACCAATTTATGTTTGACCAAGAATTTACTCTTGAAATCTTCATATATTTTAAAATGAAATATATATTTGATAACCACATAAAAAGTACTTTAAATTACAATAATTGATAATTCAAAAAATTTAAAAGATATATGAAAAATTTACGGTCAAAGATAGACTTCTTTGAATCTTGACATTTGAAATTTGTCTCATAAATTGGGAGACAGAGAGTATTTTTTTATACCAGTATACGTACGCGCGTATTGTGCAACTAGTCCATAAATGTATTCATAAATATTGATTTTTTGATAATTTTAAAATTTAACTAGTTATGAAGATAATATTGTTGAGAGAATGTTAATTTGCAAATTTGTATTTTATAATAATATTTATGTAAATGAATAAATACATATGCTTAGTTAATTGTCTAAATTGGACAATAAAAAGATAATTTTTTTTTCCTGGAAATATTGCTCTTGAAGAGATAGATACAAAATTAATAAGTTCTTTTATTATCAACAGATAATGACTTTTTCATTTTCTCTATACATTTGTTTATAAATTAATAAATAAAATTCATGTTATCACTAATGTTAAAAATAAATCGTAATTATCTAAATGCAATTATTCTTACATTATAACGGTATTAGTAAAGAATATTTGAAACGTACATATTATGAAAAATAATTATTATACATAGTGATAAATCATTTTACTATACTAAAAAGATTCTCTAAACTTGATCGATACATTATACATGTAATATAGATATAATAAATTCAACTTCCACAATTCAAGAGAAAAAAACTTAAAAAGAAAAAATAAGTTATATTAAAGCAACGTATTAGAAGTCCAACAATTTTTTTTTGTTTTAAACTTTTATTACAATATATTACAATATATGTCACTGTAAAGATAAATAAAACAATTTTAACCCATATGTGAGATAAATTGATCTTGTAATTGTTATATTTATATAGTTGCTACTTTTCTATAAAATAGAGTTTATAAAAAGTGTGATGTAATTTTTTAGTGGACGTATAATTTTTAGTTTGTAATGTTTGTATTTTTCATTTGTTAATATTTTATTTTAATTTCAATTTAGAAATTAAAATACATTGAATTACAAAATATTTAATAGGAAAAAATAACAATCTATTTTTGGATTTTAGATTTATAAATTAAAGTATTTTAAATTCTGAAATTTTTTAAAGGAAAAAGAAGAATTCGAATGAAAATAATGAGTATGAAAAATTTCACAAAATTAGGATTGTTTTATTTTTTAAATTTAAATATAACTTTCAGTTATTGTTTGGAATTTTTTTGTGTTTTGGCTAAAACATATGCCACTTTTTTTGGTTGGCTCAAAAATGCCCCCAACTTTAACTAATGTCACCAAGCATGCCATGTAAATTTTTCGTTTGTCATGTGACCAATCAACATGAATATCCACTATGGAAAATCCCCATTTAAAATCCACCCTAACCCTTAATCTAACTTACAAGTAAATATAAGACCTACTCTGAGTGTTCGGTTGGATCAAAGAGGCGCTAGATGATGATGATCCCAGTTACTTGCGTTTGTATCATAATAATATGCATACAAATTGGCCTAAGTACATTCAATGTACGAGTATCACTACAAGAAATTAAGGATTTAGCAACAATTATTTTTGTTGCTATATAGAGGATGTTGTTGCAAAAAGTACTTTTGGCAACAATATAAAAGTTGTTGCATGTGGTTGCAATAAACGCTGATGCGAAAAGTTTTTGCAACAACAAAATATATTGATGTCAAAACTAACTTATTGCAACAAAAATAATTGTTGCCTTAAATGACTACAGTTGTTGCTTATAAAAACTTTTGCAACAAAATATAGTGTTGCCACAAATTATTTTTTTACCAACAAGATTAGTTGTAAAAAAAAAAAGACAAAAAGTTAGTTAGTAATGTGTTAGGAAGGCTTTTTAGCAACAATAATTTTGTTGCAATAAACATATTTTTCTATACATTTAGCAACAATTTGTGAGTTGTTGCTACATAAATAATACACATTTTCTTTTTCTAAATTTTATACAAATATTTTCTACACTTTTAGCAACAATTTGTGAATAGCCTGTATATACACAATACATGTTTCTTTTAGAAACTTCTTCACAAAATATTAATATTAAGAATAATATAAATTTGAAAAGGTCAATATGATGAAGATTGATATCCAAAGAACTAAATACTTATAGATGTGTTTGTACTTTTAGTAGAAAACAATAAGCAAGTCATTAGTTATATTCTAATCCTACTAGCTAGTTATAACTTTTGAATTGTCCAATCTTCCAATAGTACTTGTATTGAAGCATGGTTCAATTATGCATGTTCATCCTGCAAATAAAAGATAAATATAATTATAATTTGATAAAGCAAACTATAAAATACACAAATATAAATCTAAAAAAACAGAGATATTCACATCAATACACTTAATAATACACCCAAACACACTTTAATATCAAGATAAATCTCAGTTTCCTTAAATATTTCAATTGAAAATGACCAAAATCAGAGACACTTTGTAACTTGTATAAATAGAGAGAGAGATTTTTCAGATTTGGCAAAGAACCATTTGTTCACTTAATTTCTTCAACCCCAAGAATGTCACATAAAAATCAGATTAACTCTATAAATTGTAAGGGAAGAGAGTGAGACTTCCCAGATTTTGCAAAGGATCATCTGTTCACTTCCTTCAACCCCAAGAATTTCATATACGCAAAAAGAAGTCAAAATTAATCTTAATCTCCTTTAGTAATAAATTTTTTAACAGTTTCCAGATTCTAAAAGACTTCCTTATTCCCTTCTTATCAAAACTGACCAAGAGCATTAATTGAGTTCATAAAGAGAAAATAGCTAAATGTGAAAACACAAGAACAACTATCTATGTGTAGGGATTTTAATAACTCTTTTTTTTTCATAATCAACTTCCTGTTGGCATACTACTCTCCAAAACAGGAGGGAGTAATAAAGTCCGATTCCAGCATCTCGAATAAATTGTGAATTCACTTAACGAATGCTTATTTTTTTACATGGTTCAAATTTCAGATCGAACCATAAATGAACAAAATAGTATTTTTTTAAAAGAATCTCCCTTTTTGGTGGAAAGGTTTGTTTATAATTAGTTTAACAAATAAAAACGAACCCTCATTATCTTTTCTTATTCTACCGCTATATATATTAGGGGAACATAAGCTGTGGAGTGACAGAAGACAACTATCCTAAAACTAGATTAAAATAGACAATAAATATAGTATAATAGAAATTGTGCATTCCTACGACAGACAATGTAACCTTGTATTATCACGATCAAGAAATTGTAAATTACAAAGATTACCAATATCTCATAAATCTTTCAACTCATTGCAATTTTCTAGTATTAAATATTGTAATTAACATAAACTATGTATGGGAGAAGGCAGTGTAGTATGACTTAACTCTTAGAGCTGGGAGTGAAACAAGAGATATTTAGGAAACATACCTCACTTGATTTCTTCTTTTCAATCTCTACAATTTTTTCCTCAAGTGATAATTTTTCACTCAAAAGCCTCTTTTTTGTTTCTTCTACGGTACGCAACATACAACGAGCTTTCAACTCTTCATGGATCTTATCAAAGACCTGTAATTAGTGAAGTCACATGAGTTTGTATTTTATGAATACTATTCTGGACAAAATATAAAGACCAAATAATAGTTTTTAGCATTACCTGATTATTTGCGTTCGACCAATTCTTTCGGAGTAGTTTTCTTTTAACCTTGAGAACTCAACATTTGGAAGCCACATTTCTAAGTTTCGCTTCTCTGTTAGGGTAGCCTATAAATTAAAGAATGGAGCAATAAAATGAATGATTGTCCCCTTGATAAATCAAATTTTATCACATTTAAATAATACCTTAAGCTCTACATCTTTTTCATTGCACAATGTATTGAATTTATCACAATCATAAATAGCCATTTCTAAGTTTTGCTTCTCAAAATTCAAGACGTCTTTCAAGTTATCCAACTCTTTCTGCATCTGTGATTCTTGATTTTTCTTTACATGTAAATCTTCCTGCAATTGCTCACCAACATAAAGATTATAAGCTTTAAGTAAATATATATCAAAATTGTATTTGTTTGATTTAATTAAAATGATTGATGGATATGCATAGAGATATAACTAACATAAGGAGATGTATTACTAGCCCAAACAAAAGTTGTACTAATACCTACTAAATACTCCTACTAGTTACATTTACTAAAAAGATAAATAATTTAAATAAAAATTACTTACCCAATTGTTATTCATTAGACATGCAGAACTTGTCTCATTAGAAGTAGTTGAAGTTGTAAAGATATTGAAAATTGAAGCAGGAAGGTCATTCTGTTAAATATGGTACAAATTAATAACTTAGTATGTCGATAAAAGAAGAATAGAATGAGGAAGAAACATCTACTAATTTAGTGATGTATACTATAAATAAATACCTTGGGATTCTTCAAATGAGATACTAGCGCCATCATGCTCTCTTTTAACAATTTTTGGTCATGCACTAAACGAAATTCCATTACTTCTCGGTTCTTTCGCTCCTCTTCAAGTTGATTCTTAACTTCCATTAGTTTGATCTCTACACTCTCTCGTTTATAGCGTTCTTCTTCTGCTTCCTTTTGTTGTGCTCGAAGTTGTTCTTGAATTTCATTTCTAGATATTCTACTTGCTGACTTAATTCCAGATCCTTTACCAAGAATGTACTTTGATTTTATCCCATTATTTGCACAAATGCAGCATTAATAATAGGATCCACATCGGTACCCTTGTCAATATCTTGAATTTTTTCAGCAATAACGTCTTTCACTTTGCCCTACAAAAAAGGTTATACAAACATTAATTCTTCATATAATTTAAATAAACTCACTCTATTAATAAAGGTTAAAGACAAAGTACATTGACTTCAGCAGAAGGACTAGTAACCCATTGCCCATTTGGCTTCATGTGAGTTATTTCCCAAAGTTTTTGAAAATTTGGCTCTTTTCCAGTGGTTGTATTCCTCTGTCAAAACAAATGAAATTATGTTATTGTTCAAATTGTAAGAATAATCGATCAAAAGAAAGACATATATCTCACCGCTTCATAAGACACCGCTTGAAAAGTTTTTCTCCCGCAAATATGATTAACTTCTTGTTTTGCCTTGTTATTTTTGTTTCTTTCACTCATTTTCTGCATTAATTTAAGGTTAAGAAATTTATTTTGATCTGAATATATAAGAAGTAAAAAAATACAGCAAAAAATATAAAAGGTTGAAATTTTCACTTTTAACTACCTTAAATTCATCAGAGCTGAAGTAGTCTACCAAGAATTTCCATTCAGTTTCATTAACATCTGTTGGTATATTTTGTAGACTCTCCTCTTTTGTAGAAAATTTATTAAAATGATCATGATGTCTGCTCCGACGATATCGATATAAATTTTTTGCTGTTTGAAGAATGGTATCACGATTGTGTTGTATGTCCGGAAGCTGAAAGGTGTCCTGTAATCAAAACAATATAAATAACTAATTAGTTCCAAGTGACAGTAGAGTTCCTGGTGGAATGAACACCCCTAACCAACTAATTATTCATGCATTGTCTATCCATCAATTATAATACAAAAGAAAGCCAAATAGCTGAGCTTCTTGACGAGATAAAAGAGGCAGAGAACTACATAATAAGAGATATCATAACTAACCATTTACTATTTCAACCAAAAAAAATTATAAAGAGAAAAGAACATTACCAGCATATAAGCAACAATTCTATTCTTTGCTAGATCAGGAACTCCCTTCCAATTCTTCACATCATGTCTAGCATTATGGAGAACTTTCACAGAGAGCTCGGTAATAAAATCTTTAGCTCCAGGACCTACTGCAACTGTTCGATCTGGTGGAATGATCACCTTCAACTTTCCATTGTCATTTTCCTTACGTTTCTTTTGGGTTGAAAGCCCTGTTGTCTTTCCTCTTACCTTCCTTTTTTTTCTTCAAAAATACATAAAGATATTAAAATATATGTAAATAAAACATATATGATCTAGATATTTTGAATAAAATACAATTTAACAAATGGATAAATTTACCTGGAGGGAGGATTGCACTTACATCAGTAGTTTCATTATCATTAGAAATATGCATATTTTTCATCATGGTTGGCTGCAATTAACCAACAAACGCAATGCCAAAATAATAAAGTGATAAAATAATGTTCAAAAATTAAGAGAAACAAGTAAAGTTTCTAAGATAAAGAGATATGCGAAAAGTAGAAAATAGAAATTAATTGTTTCGGTAAGTGAAAAACAAAGCTTCTATGAACAAACTTATTCAAACAAATTTTATCTTGATGACAAGTTGAAAATCAAAACCAATCATCATCCTCAACTTCATCGTATTCACTAGTATCTTCATCTATTTCAGAATCACTGAATTCGTCTACATTTTCGTGATCAATATCATCTATAACTACTAAGTCAGCTTCTTCCTCGTTATTGAGAGGTGCTTCAACACTCACTCCATCAATATCTCCTCTTTCTATTCTGATGTTATCATGCTCCAACTCTACTTCTTGAATTGTTTCTCCTCTTTCAACTAAGTCAATCAGTTGATATTGTTCCATTTCATCTTTTTGTTCGGGAAGATCATACAAATGTTGTGGTCTTACCCTTATCACTGAATGCCATTTTTCACTTTGACCATGTTTCACATAATACACTGATTGAGCCTGTGAACCTAGAATGAATGGATCACTAGTGTAATGAAGTCGTGTTATATCTACACAGACAAATCCATATTCATCTTTTTTGTAACCTCTACTTTGACTACGACCTTGAGTAGGAACTTCAAACCAATCACATTGAAATAACATAACAGATTTATTGTTCATATATTGGATCTCTAAAATTCTTCTTATCCTTCCAAAATAATCAATATTTCCTGTATGTTCATCACTCTTCACAACCACACCACTATTTTGAGTTTTCAAACCTAGCTCAGATTCCATTGTTCGAAATCGAGAACCATTCAAGATATATCCGCTATAACAAAAAACTCGACGGTCTGAAGGTCTTGCCAAAATTAGTAATTCTTCAGTAATTCGGTTATCACCATTTTCCTTTAACTGTATCACCTGTAGTATTTTAATCACAAAATCACAAATAATATTAATGTTATTTAAAAGAATAAATATGCAAATCATTAAATGAATGATTTTACCTTTTTTTCAAACCATAAAGGAAATTCCTCCTTGTGTCTCTTTGCTACATTTCTATTATTCTCCTTTGTTAAAATTTCTAGATGTTCCCTATACTTGTGGAGATTTGAAAAAAATAAATAAATTAGACATAATTGTTAAGTGTTTGTAAGAAATTGATTTAAAGGTAAACCATATCTTACTCAATCCAAGGTCTGACTTCCTTACAATTTTGGAGAATGTAAAAATGAGCCTGATTGATTTCTAAAGTATTCAAATTAGTGCAGGAACCCCCTGCTAGTGGTTTACCATGACAACTAAATATAGTTAAGCTATTGTTGTCAATGTTAAAAGAATTAGAATTCCTATCTGGACGATATTGCGTTGTTTCCATATCGCTCAAATATCTAGAGAATAATGTAATGCATTCCCCTGCAATTTGACCCTCAGCAATTGATCCTTCTACATGATAATTGTTGCGTACATAACCTTTCAAGGTTCGTAGGAATCTACGAAGAAAAATATTAAATTTTTTAATAAATTTAAATCAAAAGAATAGATTTAAAAAGTAAGAAACCAACCGTTCAATGTAATACATCCATCGAAATTGAACAGGACCACCCAACTTTGCCTCATTTGCCAAATGAATTGCCAAATGAACCATAACATCGAAGAACGTCGGCATGAACACACGTTCTAATTTACATAGTGTTACTCGTATGCTTTTATCTAGCTGATCTAGCTTCTCCATAGATAACTCTTTAGAACACAAATCATTAAAGAACAATGAGAATTCAATTAATGGGTCATGTGCATCTTTTGGTAAAATTTCTTTAATGATAAGTGGTACTATACGTTGAAAGAGAATATGATGATCATGACTTTTAAGCCCAAAAATTTTAGCTTCCTTGATACGGCTAATGTTAGAAGCGTAAGCATCGGGAAACTTAACTTCTTTGATGAGCTGACAAAATTGAATCCTTTCGGCCTTAGACATCGTATAACTTGCTGGAGGAAGTATGTATTTCTCCCCACTTTTTATGAGATAAAGGGACTTTTTGATCTTCATTTCTTGTAAGTCCAATCGAGATTTCAGGGTGTCTTTTGTTTTCCCTTCAATATCCAACAATGTACCTAACACACTTTCACTAATATTCTTTTCAATGTGCATCACATCCAAATTATGTCTCAACAATAAAGTCTGCCAATATGGAAGTTCAAAGAATATACTTTTCTTTTTCCAATTATCATGTCTTTCAGTATCTCGTTTTCTTTTTCTTGTTTTGTCATCAGCAGACCTTTGCAAAGAGGTATTAATTTGAACAAGAACATCTTCACCATTCAAAGCATGTGGTGCAATTCTTTCTTGCTTTGTATTATCGAAAAGACTTTTATTTCGACGATAAGGATGATTCATCTCCAAGAACCTACGATGACCCATATAACATTGCTTTCGACCATGTTTCAAGTAAGAAGAGCAAGTATGCACATGACAAACTGGACAAGCTAATTTACCTTTAGTGCTCTAACCAGATAAAATACCATAAGCAGGAAAATGATTGATTGTCCACAACAATGAAGCATGTAATTGAAAATTTTGTTTCATAAAAGCATCATAAGTCTCAATTCCATCCCCCCATAAGATTTTCAAATCATCAACCAAAGGTTGGAGATACACGTCAATATCCATACCAGGACCTTTCGGTCCAGGAATAAGTAAAGACAACAAAAGATTAGATTGTTTCATGCATATCCACGGGGGAAGATTATATGGAATCAAGATAACTGGCCACATGCTATATGAATTACTCATTGAACCAAAAGGATTAAAACCATCTGATGCAAGTCCAAGTCTTATGCTACGAGGATCTGAAGCAAAATTTGGATATTTTTCATCAAAACTTTTCCACGCCAACGAGTCAGCAGGATGTCGTAACACTCCATCATCAACTCTTTCATCCTTATGCCACCTCATTTCTTTTGCGGTTCCTTTAGTCATAAACAATCGTTGTAATCTAGGTATAATAGGAAAGTATCTAAGAATCTTTCTAGAAATACCTTTCTTTTTGTTATTCAAATTACCCGAAGCAACTTCACTATTGGAATCTTTTCCTTTTCTCATTGTCCATCTTTTTTCACCACATTTAGGACATTGTTCAAGATTCACATATTCCTTTCTATATAAGATACAGTTATTAACGCATGCATCTATCTTCACATAATCTAAACCCAAATCTTTTATTATCTTTTGAACTTCATAAATAGAATCTGGGAGCACATTTTCTTTAGGTAAAGCATCACTAATTAATTTCAACAAAGAGTCAAATGAAGTATTACTCCATCCATGCATACACTTCATTTGAAAAAGACGCACTATAAAAGATAGTTTGGAGTACTTTTCACAACTTGGATACAATCAATTTTCTGCATCTTTCATTAACTTATAGAATCTCTTAGCTTCTGTATTAGGCTCTTCGTTCGGAGACTTAGTTGTGTCATTAAACTCATCACTATTGCTGGGATCACCATGATATATATCATGCAACATTTCATAAATTGGAACATGATCATTTGCTAAACTTGAATCTTCACTAAGATTTGTTTCATCATCTGAAGAAAGATCTAGCTCTCCATGATGAATCCACTTTTTATATGTTTGATTCATTCCAAACCTACACAAATCTATTCTCACTTCATCTCGCGTTTTCCAAAGAGCATTATTGCATTTTATGCACGGACATTTAATTCTTACACCAACCTCAAGATTAGAAAATGCAAAATTCAAAAATAGCTCCACACCATTTAAATATTGTGGTAACGCTCTATTTCCAATAAGTATCCAACTTTTATCCATTATATACTTACCTACAACAATTTTAAAATCAATTAAAATAAAGTTATATGATTTTTTATTTTTAAAAAATAAAGAAAATGTTAGAGAAAAACTTCATATTATAAAAGGTCAATATAAAAATCTAAAAGTCCTTGTAAGAGCAGTAATTATTTTTTTGTATATGTACATCTACGAACATCTTCAAAAATAATTCTTATATCTACAACCTCTCATATAAAAGAGTATAAAATAGATAAAATTAGAATAGATAATCAATTTAAATTCAAATCTACATGAAATATTTCAATATCAATACAAAACACTTAAAAGAGTTAGAAATATATCTCTCCATATTGATTGAGATGTTGAATTTCCATGATACTAGGACATATCAAATGTATCTTTAACATATAGCAGAAACAACATGAATAAAAGTATGGTAAATATGGTTATGCAGGCAAGTTATATGTCATATCTTAAGTGAGAATATAACAAGTTCATAGGCACAAGCAACAAGTTGGTCAACTGAATCTTTAGACAAGCATACACATGACCAAACTGTATACAATTGGGGAAGCCTTGAATTAAGATTTCATCTCCCATAAATCTGAGATGAAGACCTTGTTTATCTTATTCAATACTTTTACATGGCATACAAATGCCTTCATCACTATAAAAAGATTCACAACACCAAGTTGCAACACTTTTTAACTATTTAAATCCTGGCATCCTTAACTAAAACTGATCGGGTTATAAGTTATATGGTAGGGAAATTGCAGAATATCTCTGCAGAAGCTACCTCTATCACTGCTGAAGGAATGCAACCAATCTGCCAACTAATCAAGAATCAGTAACTAGTGTTCTAGTTATACCAGATTACCAGCGGGTTCAGTTTTTGATCTCCAAGTAGTAATATCATAATGTTTAATCTTTGAGTATGTTGAAAGGTGAAAGAAAGAAATAACAGGATGATACAATATCTAAAAGAGGACAATTTCTTGCAAATCTGCAAGACAACAAAGGGAACTTTACTTTAATATACGATCACTCGGGTCTGCCTTTTCAGGACCTGATCATTGATTTTATTAATGAAGCAGTTAATAGACTAACAAATTTACCTGATTTCCTTTACTATTTGGTAAAACATGCACTTAATTTACCAGAAGAACTACCAATTCTTTTTGAGGATCATGCTGCCAATGAGAGATAGCACTTGATGTCACTTCTGCTAAATTTGGCAAATACATTCTTGTATATGGTTAACACATACATAATAGTCCCAACAATAGATGACTACTGTATGAGTCTTGGAGCTGCAACAACTCTTTGTGGAGCTGTAATTGGGTCTATGGTTGTTGCTCAGGTGTTCTCTTCAGTCTATTTTCCGTTCATGGTCAAATAAAAAAATAAACGAAGCCTATTTTGTGCAGCAGCATGGTCCTTCTTGTCGGGAATACCTTATATGTACTGGCTTATGACTTCAACTCGATATACTTACTTCTAGTTGGACGTCTATTTTTTGGGCTTGGTTTGTCAAGGGTAGTTAATAGGCGTTAAAGCACTGATTGTGTTCCTCTGCACCTGCGAATGAAGGCTTCAATTGGTTTAACTGTAAGTGCACTTGGAATGGCATGTTGTCTAGTTGTTGCCTACTTGTTACAAACTAACTTTAAGTTCCTAAATATCAGTTTTAACCAAGAAACTTTACTAGGCTGGATAATGGCTCCTGCATGGTTTGTTTACATGTTATGCTTATGTACTACCTTTAGAGAACCTCCAATGTTGGAACTAGAGGATGTTCTGCTACCAAAATCCAATAGTGAGAAGATTGAAAATGACTTACTGCATAAAGGTATTACCCAAACATTCCTTTTATGTGCAGAAGAGACAAAACAAGACGAAGATGACGATCAAGATTGCGATAATAGTGAAAAACTGCAGAGGAGATCCAAAAATACGTTACTTCCATCATCTCTGCGTATAAGTTTCTTAACCCGTAGAAATCATAGTGTGCTTGGTAATAGTTTTTAGTTTCTATGTCACAATTCCTATTCTGTACCACAATATGTATGTTCAGCTCTAATCACATTTGTAGTTATTGAAGTACTCGAAGAGTTAACCTTAAACTTCTATCTCGAGCCATATGTCTTCAAAGCATTCTTAGGGAACCTATGATGGTGAACTACTTTTAACGAAAGCTGAAACGTTAGATCAAGTATTTGGTCAAAAAGTGAATTCTATAAAAATTTAAAAGGCAACAGCATACAGTAACTAAACATATCTTGCACATAACAGAAAAAATAAGGCACACACATTAATCAATGAGTAAATAACAAAGCATACTTGATATATTAAGACAAGCACAATAATCTACAGCCGAGAAGGTCTTGAAAATCATAGAATTGTATAGAATTATTGACGTATCTGTCTCTTAATCCGTTTGAAGTCAATACTTTGCCATGGCTATATATGTTTCCCTCCAGATACACAACAAACTCTAACAATTCTTAATGTTAGATACAGATAGGCCTTTGTTCAAATTTCAGAACACCTTTTCTTTTGTTGTGCTAACAAAACAAGTCTTTTTTTTTCTTTGGAACACACAGCACCACACAAATAAATAAATCAAAAACACCCAAATAACAGTACTAGCAATTTTGTTACTCAATCGTACTAGTAATAACTAGTAGTAGTAATTTTGTCACTAATCTCAGCAAAAAGACGGGGGAAAAAAACCTTAACAAAGCAATTGAAATCTTAGAAAATAACCTAGGAGACTCAATCATTAGATAATCATACGCAAGAATTAACAAAACTTTGTGAAAAGAAACTAAATCATACAGAAAACTCACCAGAGATAGACTTCACCAGGCCAACAACGTTCTTCTTCAGTGAATCAGAAAACCTAGCTTCAGTTTTCGCGAAAACTGAAGAAGCGCTATTTCTGGAAAAGAAAACTAAAAATTTGTGAACTTCTGCAAAAGAAAATTGGCAAAAATAAAAAAGCCCGCGATTCTATTGGCGGAAAACTAAAAAAAAACTATTTTGCCACAATATATGTATTGTCAAATTAAATATATTAGCAACAATAAAATATTATTGTTGCCAAATATTTTTTAAGATAGCAACAAATTAATTAAATTATTGCCATTATTTAAGTTGGGCAACAATATCATCATTGTTGCAAATACCTTGTTGCAATTTTTTAATATTTAAAATTTGTTATATTAATTATTATTAACAATATAATATCACAACAATACTAACGTATTTGACAACAACAAAAATATTGTTGTTGAAAATTTAAAAATGTACCAACAATAAAATTAAGTTGTTGCGACTTATCAATATAAGCCAACAATAATATAGTTGTTGCTAAAAAGTTGTTGCTAAATCCTTAATTTCTTGTAGTGTATGCGAGTTGAGAAGTTAAAACAACTTAAGCTTGAAATTTTTTTAGAAGGAACACCTATCTTGGCTCTGCTCAGCTAAAAAATAACTTCACTCAGTACTACAAAAAGTACTTTGCTCATATAGTTTTTTAAAAAGTTCTTCTCTTGTTTGATGTAATTACATAAACTTAACTTTAAAATCTCTCATGGAAATCATAGTTTCCTCTTTACTAAAACTAGCCAAATGCTCCGTTGGAAGTCTTAGTTTCCTTTGTTTCTCGAAATGTGAAAAGGTTTGTAACTCTTAGAGAATGCTTACTTCCCTTATTACTTATGATAAATGAACTAAACTCTTTACTCTTAGCTTAATTTGAAACTTGAGGTTTAAAAAAAGTTAAAAAGTTTGTTAAAGACTCTTGAAAATTTTGAGAAATAACTTTGACTAGCTTCTTAACTTTTAGACTTGACTTCTAACTTCGTTGACTTTGATCTTAAATATCCTTTAATTAGATTATGGATTTAAGGTTCAAGATCTCATGTTTATTGATAATTTTATAATATTTTAGATGTACCTTAGAGTGTTTAAATAAACTAAGAAACATAGATACTTCACTTAAGAATTAGTACGAAAAGGTGGAGGATGAATAGGGACAACTAACGTCCCTAGCTCTCTCAGAGGCGTGGGGCTACAACACTCAAAGTTTAGAGAACTTTCTGTGGCACTCAAATTCGCACGATGCGTCACAGGCCAAAGATGAGAAGACCTATTGTGGCGCTCTGGCAGGCGATGCCCCAGCTAGAAAATTCCGACCTTGCACCTTTATTTTTCATCTCTAAACCTTCTAAAATTCCATGGTTCTTTTCCCAAACACTTAGGACATTAGTACCCTCAATACCCAATATATTTAACAAAAAAAAACCTGAAATTATGAATCAAATCAACACTACGCATTCAACAACTCAACCTACAAGAATTAAACAATGTTATTCAAGAACTTCACATACTAACATGTAAACAACTCAGCAAATACTGAACTGAAACAAATTTGGTGTGTGGATGAGTGAACCTAACACTAATGATCTCAGATACCTTTATAGGGATCACCCTCGAGGAATTCCACAGGCAAAGCTTCGACGTTTTTGGCTAATTCTTAACTTTTATCCCTTTCTTTCTTCTTTTAACTCTTCTCCAAGTCTTAAACTCAACTAATTTAGTTTTATTTACCCTATTAATTTTCTAAAAACAAATCACGAAATTATTTTGAGCAAATAAGATTGTTTATTCTTTGTTCTTTTAATTATTCATAAATGTTTTTATGTGTTTATAGAAAAAGAAAATTAGATTGTTTAGTCTTTGTTCTTGTTATAGGCACACTCGGTAGCCCTTCCTCCATAAAAATGTACATGTTTTTTCAAAGGAGGGGGGAGGGTAGTTGATAATCTTATGTTTATATTTTTCTAGATCCAATTTGATTAGATGTTCTTCAAAAGCCACAGTTCTTGAAACAGCATTTAGAAATATCGCTTCAACAATTTGAGATCTCAAGATGAGCGCAAACGTAGTCATTGTACATAAGGCCAATAACCATTTAATGAATCTCAACAAACGAGTAGCAATAGAA